TCACTAATTACCAGACCCCGCACTGCCATAAACACCATCAATCTTTGCTATCCATCGCAATCCTGAGTATCAATATGGGTTACTAGTATACGGTATGTTTGTGCGGTTCGACATCAAGATAGAAATGTTAACACTCTGGGTGGTGAATCGGGCCAGCCCTGGCCACCACGCCTCTGCTCCATATACTGCCATACTAAAAACACATGCCTGTACTAATTTGATCATTAGCCCCGGGGCCACACCGCGCTGCACAGAGTTGATTTGACGTATGAACTGAGTTATGCGTTGTGATTTCCCAGACCATTCTTGGACATGCTGTTTGAAGTAGAGCCGAGAATCTAACCAAACGCCAAGCTATCTCACACAAGGAAAAGGGGTTAAACTATGACCTTTAATATGAATTAACAGGCCTGATGTATCAAACTTCTTTTTGGGTCCTCCAACTATCACTAGAAGCTCTGACTTTGAAGGATCAAAGTCTATCATATTCTCATTAGCTAGGTGAATAAGTTTGTTTACCTCTTCTTGAGCTGTGGCTACTGCCTCCAATGCTGTACTTCCGACAGCTAGAACCGCAATTTCATCAGCATATCCGAAACGATTGTTCTTGTTCTCATCCTGAACTAGCATTGCAATATAGAGAAGAAACAAGAGTGGTGATAGTGGTGAGCCTTGCGGGACTCCGTACTCCACTACTTTATCTCGCGTCGTTCCATCATGATGCCTGACACGTATCATCCGCGCAGTCAAGAATGACTTGACCCATTGACATGATATCTTAGGCCACCCTTGTTCCCGCGTCCGTCATAGTAGGCGTTTGCGGAGTACTGCATCGAAAGCTCCTTGCACATGTAGATTAACATTGCCATGACCTTGTTGTTTCGCATTGTCGCTTCCGCATCGTGTGTAACACACGATTTGAGGTCAACTGCAGAGCGTCTAGGGGGTGCACCAAAAAGCTGCTGGGGAATACTTTTTATTTGATCGCCAGCCAAGCCATTCTCTTGGCAACTATCTTCTCTAATCCTTTTCCCAGACATGGGAGTAGAGAGATAGGCCGCCATCCCTTTGGGGTTGCAAGGTCTCGCCCTGGTTTGGGAAGAAAGACGGCTTTAGCTCCTCTGAACGCTGTTGGAAAGTTTCCATGATCTAGAAAAGCTTGAAAAATATCCTTTACACGTTCTCCGATCACCATCCAGCATGCCTTGAGTAGGCGAACCGTTATTTTGCCTGACCCCGGTGCCTTATCGCCTGTCTCGATAGTGCAAGCGGTCACAAAATCTAGTGAGAGTGTTCGGTCCCATGGTATTGATTCTGGTTGTTCATCCTCCCACGTTTGTAGGTCATGTGCCGTATTAAACCTAGCCATCAGCGTGTCCCGTAAACTTTCCGCTCTTTCTAGTGGATCTGAAACCCATCTATCTTCTCCGACCTTCATAGGAGGAGACTCTTGATATAGTTTCGATTTAGCCCACTGCATTAACTTGAAAATTTGTTCATCGGTGGTGGCATTTTCTACCAGCTTCCTCCGATGTTCTCTCTTTGCTTCTTTAACTGCTGTAGGGCCTGGTATTGTTGTACATCGATTTACTTTGCAAGATAAAATCTGGTTAGCAGTCAAGGTACTTGATGAATAAGGGTGAGGAATAGACTAGAAAAATCTGGGTGTGAATTACTCTCCTAGAATCTAATTCGGTCAAATTTGTGAAGATAATTAAAATTGCGGCAAGCATGCACGGCCTGCAGACCAATAATATTTCCTTAGTTTTGTAACTTCTTTCTAAGTAATTTTTGCCATGAGGTCTTTAGTTCATTTGGGGGCGGTGGCATTGCTCCGATTTTTTCCATGCGACAGTTCCATCATTTAGTGTAGTCCTGGTGTTATGGATATATTATGGCGTCTGCTAGTGCAAACAAAGGATCTGGCGGTTAAAGAGTCCTTTGTTATCATTTAATATATATCAAGCCATCTAACCTTGACACATTTTCGGTGTCAAATGAGCATGTTGAAGGACTCTTTTCACGTTAGAGACACTCATACTCTGTATTTCATTCGCAAATACCACTATGAGGTATGTCTGCTTACACACACATTCGACCCTTCTCCGTGAGTACCCACCAAAAGGAATTCAAAACCTTTGGTTATCCAAGCATACCTTCATCATCCATGAACACCAACGTCGCCATGAATGTAAATGTGTTTTGCCGGATTCGAGCCAGCGGTCTCCTGTCTCAAGTGAGACAAGTTTCTAAGCTATCTAGAATCTACTTGGGAGGTCGGCCAAGATGATATACCACCACACCATCCAGCCATAGCGGAGTTTAAATTGTCGCCCGCATTCCCATGATAATTTGTCTTGAATTGAATTAGTCTCGTTTAACGTCCTATGCGGTATCTATTTACAGAACCATGAAGACGGTAAGCCGCTTTGGTAAGGGAAAAAGCTTTCAACAAACAAAACCTGATGTCCTGCCACTTTGAACTGACCCGGCTTTATGCTGAGGACGTTCCTTTCAACCGCAATTATGTAAACTTTCCTCGAAATTCATTAACTCCCCCTTCAATCAGACCATCGTTATGAGAAATTAAAAAGAGAAGGTACCTCCTCACTCGGCGTTGGTCTTCGAAGTGTTCGAAGAGTTGGCCCCGATGGTGGTGCTGCTGTCGAGGCGATGGTTGGTGCCGCTGGGGCTTCGACTACCTTGCGTGGTCGTCCCGGCCTTCTTTTGAGTCCTTCAGCCTTCTTACTGGTGACCAAAGTAAATCCCTGATCATGAGTTGGTCTGACTGTTTGTGTTGGCGCCATTGTTGGTTTTTCATTCTAAATATCTGCCGTTCTCGTTAACAGCTCCATCCGAGCCTTCTCCACACTATCCTTGTAGACCTGGTAGGTCCGACACGCTGCTTTCTGCTATGAACGATGTTCCTTGCCGCAGTTGGCACAAGAAACCCTTTTCCTCGGACAGTCCCGAGTTTTGTGAGCGCCAGCGCACTCACCGCACCTGGCTGCCTTTCCACACGACGCCTGAGTGTGACCCAATTGGCTGCAGTTGTAACACTGCTTTGGCTGAGCCCGTGGCGACCATACCTGCGCGGTGAGGAGCATGGCGTTAATAACAAGGCCCTGTCGAACTACCTCCGTTTGCATTGCCTCCGGTGGGAAGCTGACCACAATTGAACCTCGATTGCGACCGTTTTTCTTCGATCGCTGATGCTCCTTTCCATCATGTAGCCATCGTATTCTATTAATTACCAGGCCTGGAATACGTGCCTTCGTCGCCGTCTCAATCTCCCTGATGATGGCGTAGTTGTTGGCATCTCTGCCACCCTCAATTCTTGTCCGCAGTGGGACTCCGGAAACCTCAACAGGAAAGTCTTGCCGCAAAATTTTAAAATCCGTTGGTTGTCGCATGTTTAGCGCCGCGTCTCTCTGGGACGCCGACTGGACAAACACCTCGGTGTCGTTGCTTCGCATCTGTCGAATTGCAAATGCGCCTTGAATATGTTGCTGTGCCTTTGAGAGCAGCTCTTGTGGCTGCAGGTTTTGTGCGCCATCAATTCTTATTCTAACCGCTGTCTTCTTCATTTGCGGAGCCACGACCGACGCGTAGCTCCTTGGTGTCGGCGCGCCCGAAACCACTGCTGGTGCAGCTTTTCGAGCGGGATCCGCGAGGCTCTTTTTGACAACCTCCTCGAGCGCCATCTTCCTCTCCTCGATGGGAGACTTCTTCTGGGTCATTTCCGTCCAGGCCCTTTTGTGTGTGTTGAAGGCCTTCACGGCCTCGTTCACACCCTCCATTGAGGGTAAGTCCTCCTCATCCATCTCTCCCATCACGATGAGTCTAACCTGTTTCAATAGTTTCCCTAGGATTTCAAGGTTTCTATCCTTCGGAGCTGTCTGCGCTCCGCTGCCGTTGTTTGTTGGGGCCATTGTCGCATTTTGCGACGCGTCCAAACCGCTGGATTTACCCACACCAGCACCCACACTCGCCATGTCGGAGCACGGAAAGCGAAAAGATGGTAGGTGGGTGATGAAGATGTAATAATAATAATCACGATGTCAATTTGATGATACGGGCAGCGTGGAAGGCTGCGCAGCTTTCTGGCAAAAATGATCAATAATTTGTCTTGCGCACATGATCTTCAATTTGTAAACACCTCCTTAATGATCAAAATGTCACTCCTTACAGCCCATCAAAAATCCTTAAAATTACCTTTTCCATCTATGCAAACACTTCTCATGCACAGCCCAAAGATACTTCTCCCAGATTTGTGCGCCACGATTTTTTTCCTCAGTCGGGTATTCTTAGTGTAGAGGACGATGCTATGGAGGTTAGCCGAGGCTAGAGACTGGTTTGAAAAGGGTGTGGTTAAAGAAATAATGATGTCCTAGGCAGTGCTCAAGGATTCAAAGAGGTTTTGGTTAGATGCGATCTTATTGGGAATGAAATATTGATGTTGTATAGAGTGTTAGACTGCCTCGCGAATTTACTTCTTCTGCGTTGCGAAATTTACCTGAACTCCGTCTCGGATTATTCCTCACCTTTGGTTCCACAGATAATATCTGTATCCGATCTTCATTCATTGTTGACCCCATCTACAACTTTTACGGCGCTCTCATGTTTTTACTAATCAGTTTTTACCAAGGAACTTAATTCAACCCCTTCAAGTCGGCCATTCATCAGATAAAGCTTATCTCCCGCCTATTGTAATCTACGTATCATCGCTGGGCGGATATTTAACTAGTAGTTGCTTCAATCGTGCCAGATCAGTCTTATAACCTGGGGAGTAAGCTAACAGGGAAAGGGGATTCTCGAAAATGTCACGTGTATAAACGGTTCAATTACGGACTAGCCCTTGGTGGGATAATTTGGGGCTCAGGCGTTAAAAAATAAATTGCAACAAGATGCAACATGAATTAATTTGTCATCGTCTGAGCCTCACGAACAAAGGCGGAAATAATCAAAGGTGATGATTGATAAATTAGCAATCACTTATAATGCGCTCTCAATTGACCCGCAATGTATTTCGCAGACTCATTTCCGGAAGAGGGTTATTTTGCTATTGCCCTCATAACCCCAACCCGTTGTTGATTTATCGCAAACAAAATACCAATCACCATACAGTGCCACTATGGTCTCAGCGAACTCTTTTTGCCTTCGCGAAGCAGATAGCCCGAGAGCCCAAGAATCCCTCAATTACACCAGGACTACCCAAAATGATGGAACTCTCTCGCATGGAAAAAATCGGAGCCAGGCCACCGCCCCCAAATGAATTAAAGATATCATGGCAAGAATTCTTTGGATATAAGTTGCGAAATAAAGAAACTATCAATGGTCTGCAAGCCGAGCATGCTTGGCGTACTTTTAATTATCTTAAGAAATTTAGCTCAAGTAAAACGCGGGACAAGTTGGAAATTTCAGAGCTCAGAATTGCTATTTGTGCTCTTCGGCGTTTGCCTGAGGAAGAGATTGACCACCATAACCAGCTTTCAAAGGCATTATTCAGCGAGCTCCAAGAAGATAATGAAGATCTGTTCCAGAAGATTCAAAATCTAGAATGCTTTGTCGAGACACTCTCGCTATCCGGTGATTCCTCCGAGGCACTGAAGCTGCTTAATACATTCATGTTGGAAAGGAAAAATTACCTAGCATCAGAGGATATGGAGGTAGCCAGCTATAACACGGACAAACTATGGCTTTATGTTCTCAAAGGTTTCTCAAAAGAGCAGAATGCAGTGGAATTACTACACACGCTTGACTTGGCTAAAACACACGGTTCGCTCTATGATTCAGCGAAACATGAAATCATCACAACATTTTTTGCGGAAAAGAATGATATCGAACAGACAAAACGCTGGTTCAATGAGCCAATAATATGTAACGGTGATTCTTCGCCACAATCCCGAACCTTGGCTGCTATCATGCAATTTTGCATCCGCAATGATGAGCTCGAATGGTGTCAAGAAGTCTTTAAGAATGCTCTATCCCTCAACTCAACCAATGGCACCTGGGATGTGGTCCTTCAATGGGCTGCCGGAGTAATGGGAAAGGGAGTTGAAGATTTGGAAAGTATGATAAAGCTCATGGTTGAACGTAATCGCGACAATAAGGTCAAATGGCCCAATAGTTCTACCTTCAATGGGCTCGTAAGTCTAGCCATTTCAAATAATGACCCTTATCTCGCCGAAAGATATCTATCCCTCGGCCTTCGTTTTGGAATTAGGCCTGACGCGCACACCTTTATTCTTCAAATGAACTACCGGACTGATGCCGGGGATCTTCGGGGTGCTCAAGCAGCCTATGATGCCCTCCAGGCAGAAGAGGTCTTACATGACGAAGATCTGCCGTCGATAAACAAATATATTCGCGCAGCTTGTGCCTGTAAAGAGCCAGACCTTCATCTAATCAAGTCGGTAATTGCTGATCTTGATGAACGTGGTAAGGGCCTTAGAGCTTCTACTGTCTCAGAAATTGCTATAGTTTACCTCACCCAGCGCGAGATTGATGATCTTGTCGATATCTTACAAACCAACATTTACCATTATACATTATCTGAGCGAGGGCTTATTCGTGATTATTTTGTTAGTTTTATTTGCGACCGTAAAAATTCTACTTTGAAAGCTTGGGATGCGTACAATATATTGCGACAGTTTTTCGACGAAACAAATACAGAACAGCGGACGCAAATCATGAACTCTTTTTTTGAGAGAAGCCGATGTGATATGGCATGCCACACCTTCGGACATATGCGTCAAAATAACATTCCTGATCGCAAGCCCGTACTGGAAACATACGTTGCTTGTTTTGAGGGGATCGCCAGATTATCTGATAGTGAGTATGCAGATGTAATATACGACATGCTTAAGCTAGATGCAAATATTGAGCCTAATACCAAGCTATACAACGCACTTATGCTCGCGTATACTAGTATTTGTGATGGCCATCGAGCGATTTCATTCTGGAACGATATAGTAAATCGACTTGAAGGGCCCAACTACAAAAGTCTCGAAATAGTATTGTGGGCATGTCAAGATTTGAACGTTGGAAGCCATACAGCACGAGAGATATGGGCAATGATGAAGCGAATGGGCGTTAGCATTACTAGGCCAATATTTTCTGAGTATATGGGGTCACTTGCTCGCGATGGGCACTGGGCCGAGGTCAAATCAATGATGAGTCGAATGGAGCAAGAATACTGCTTAAAACCAGATGTAAGAATGTGAGTAATCATCCCTAACTGAGAACAAGCTTCCGATACTGACACGAGTGATATTAGGCTTGGCACAATCTATAATTGTTTACCAGGAGAATCCTCACAAGATATGATGCAAGCATGGGCTGAGGAGTATTTCCCGGAAATTTGGGCAGAGCTGTGGAATATTGGTCGGAGAATGGTGCGGCACAAGATATATCCCGAAATCAGAATGCGGCAATTCAATTTGAAGCGGGACTTCAAGGCATCCTAAGTGTACACCGAATACACTTTTTGAATTATTTTCTGTAGAATATGTGGAAGGGTGCCAGTGAAATACTCTAATGATCAACCGATTATCCTCGTGTCTGACCATATTAATAATAAGGGCCCTTGTACGATTGGCTTGAGATATAAAGGCACAAAATATGCATGTGCCCATAAGCTACGAAGATATTAATTTCGTCTGATCTTTAGAACCAGACCGGAAAAATACAAGGACTAGCGGCTAAGTTTTTGTTCAAGCACCCGCTCGTTAGCTTAACTCTGAGAGATCAATAACTGAAAATTCGCAAAGATAATTCGGTAATGGCTATGGGCTACACACGAAAGATTGAGCATTGAGCATCATTTCTACGAAGATGGTCAAGTAAAATTCGATCACCAGATATGTCATTCAAGTTTTTCTTCATCTTATCTGATATCTAATCACCTACTATGAAGAAGACTTTACGACTGGTCTACCGCTTAAAATGAAAAATGGCCTTAAGAGCACTGAAAAACTATTAGTTCCTCTTTGCCCCTATTTGATGAGTTGGTCCAATTATCCTATCAAATGTATCGTTTATCTTGACTTAACAGCGGACCTTATCCACCGATATCTGGGCTGTCAAATAAAATAGTTTTACGAGTAAGTCATTGAGTATTAAGATAGAATATCTGAACCAAAACAGTTCTACGGTTTGAAAACCTTACTGTTCCAGGCAGGTTACGTGCGAAAAAATGGAAAGCTTTGCAACAGATAACAGTATATAAAAACTAGATGATCAAGAGCAAGTCCACGATTGTGGACAAAAGTGGTATATTCTAAGTCTTTTGGACCCACTTAGTAGTTTAAGGAACTAAATTAATATGCTATGATTCTAACATGGCCAATACGTAGACAGAAAAACTTCTGAGGTATTGGGCAACAGAAACTGCCACAGTAATTATCGGCATTGGACAAGTCTCTCTTGCTTGGATGGCTTAGGGATAATTCGTCTAGATAAAGCAGAGTTTGATTACTCTTAAGATTTACTCCATACGAAGCAAAGTAGCCGGCTGTAAGTACCCATTAGACTTTGTTACATTACTGAAAGAAAAAATCTGATGTTTAGATCATTAAAAATGTTTTCAGATATCCAGGTATGACATATGATTAATCTAACGTGTAGACATTGAATGACTCTTTGACTTGAAAGACACTTGTACTCTAGATTTCATTTACAAAAACCACTAAGAGGTATATTTGCCGGTGCAGAATAGTTGTTCCTCATCCGTTATTGCCCAACAAAGGGCAGTTTCAAACCCTCCGGTCATCAAAACATGCCTTTTTTATTCTGTCCACAAGTAACACGAGTTATACAACCTCGTTTTCCTGGATCTGAACCAGCCATATCCCACTTCTGGTATGAAAGGTGTCAAGGTATTAAAGATGTTTATATAGAGAACAAGTCGGATAATGTGCTAATGCACAATTGAACCATATCTGTATCTTAAATGTCGCAGGATTAACTGAAGATGGTAGGTCTTAGAATAAGTGCGAAAATAAAGTCAGGTGATTATTCTAATCTACATAATACATCGGAAGCATTACACCTTGCTCATCGTCATTGCTTTGAAAGTCACGGCATTAATGACCAGCCTCAAACAACCAGCCTAGCAACAAGTCACGCGGTCACCGGCCTTTTCGAAGCCATCTTTGTGGCCACTAGCGCTGCATAGTGTTACAGGCTGTAGCCTTGTATGTGGATCCGGAACTATCCGGCTCCGTCTATGAACAAAAGCGCACTAGTGTCACGGGAAAACGCGCTCGATTGGAACAAAACATCTAGCGCGCGCGTCGTAAATATTCTCCTCCTTAGATAAAATATAAATTCATTTTTGGACCCATAATTGTGAACAACAAATGTGAAGTCCCTTCACACATAGTATACAATACCTAACTCGGTGCTAGCACAGCCAATATCAAGCTTACGGGTCTATCTCGTAACAGCTCTCACGGCACTTGAAGGTCGAATTCCGAATCTCATTTCGGAGAGTTATGTTTGACGCATTCTGTTATCTTTATAGCTGAACTTGGATTTTTCATATGAATTTCCTCTCTTACTTTATCTCTTTTTACTTTGCATTTGTCCGAGTCCTAGGTTACGCTCGATATATCTTTTGCTATGAGGACCGAAGGAGCCAGTAGGGGTCACTCTTTACAGGTCCAACTAAACCGCGTGAACTTTGACAGAAAGAGGGCAAGGTAACGACAAAACATGAATCAAAAAAAGAAATCAGAAAATTTGAAGCAAAATTAAAAGAACTTCTTTTATAGTCCAGGTACCGCGCTTCCCGTCCGTTTCCATTCCCATCACATCTTACAATTGAAATTTCTGGTATCCACTGGGAGCAATAGGTGAGAACGCAGATACCCCTTATTGTCAGCCAATTTCCCTTAAACCTCTTAAGATTCCAGAACTCTCAAAATCGATATGGATCCCTGATGATGTAAATAGCTCCTCTCTGATAGACAACAATTCATAATACAATTCAAGCAAAAGCTGTGAACCGTAGTCACCCAGTGCTATCAAGAGCTAGTACCTGTAAATAATCATAATTAGGCATTATGAATCATTGGATGTACTTTGTGTTACTTATACCGATTAGGAAATTGCATTTATGGTGTCTAGGATTTCGTTGAGACTCGTACGGAGATCTGACTCAGTCTCCTCAGAGAGGCGTTTGAAGTCGAAGGGAGGGATCCGATATCATATCTCGATTTTTCCACTCATCGATTACATCTACCGATTCTATGGCACTAGTCAGATCGAAATAGCTCGTGTTTTACTAGTAATCACCGACACCTAGTGTACGGTGAAGACTTCTGGCGACTTATTCCCAAGATGTCTGCCCTGACGGAACGCCTCGCTCTCTCAACGTAATATTCCAGCTGGTGCCTGTTTGCTCATCTTATGCCTCTCGAAGATTATTGTCGGTATAACATCGTTGATGCATCTTGATGCATCTTGATGCTCTATTCAATGGCGCTGATGATTGCTAAGTTTATCTCTATTTGATGGGCGCCCAGAGATGATGTCTTAAACTTTTTTCTACAGAACCTATGTATAAGGCTCGGGTAGACTGTCTCGGGCTGAATGTTTCCATGATACTATTAAACAAGAGCTAACCTAGTTCCCTTTTCTAAGCTTAGACATGCAATTATCTTTTGTATCAATCTCACGGCTGCTCTTCTTTTGAACCCTTTCCGAGGAATGTTGCGCTGAATGCTCTGGGAATCAGGATCAATGTCTATAACTTTGAGATGGAAGATGGGATACCTGGCTACGGGCTGGGCCTATTGAACGATTTAGTGCTTGCTGTATTAACCTCAATGTTTGGTCCCCAAATAAGTTGGTTCAATGCTTTCAAAAGATAGTCCCGTCAGTGCCATGAATTACGAGCCCAGGATTCTAAGACTTGAAAGGTAGATTTTTAGAATCTGGTGATTTTGTCACTCATTAGTTGTAAGCATCTTGGTGTTTGGGTTTACTGAGATCTTTACTTGGCCGAGAGCCCAGATTTGAAGGCTATATTCTGCGTGCCTTGTGCTATCATAGACCTCGGGTTGTTTGACCAGATAATTATTAGGCTTGTATTAGGGGCTCTTGAAATTCCATCTGCGTCAGACTATTTCTATTCGTGGGTTCTGGACAGAAATCTCGGTGGAGATAAATGACGGTGATGATGTGGTAAGGAATCTGAAGGAGTCAAGGTGTCCATTGTGGGTTCGGTAGTGCAGGTAATGGATTAACGGTCAAAGTGTTAGCATCATGAAAGGAGTATCTGAAGGGGAGAAGTTGTTGTGCCACAATCAATGACGACTACAGTAGGCAGTAAGCCGACGTCATAGGCGTGGGCTATGTACATTTCTCAAGAGAGGAGAGAGACAGACGAAAAAGCCTGGCTAGCCACCAACTATTATTCTGATGGAAAAGGTTTGGACTCTCAGCCCGAGGTGAGTATGATGAATTCAGGCATCAGTCATGCCGTGATATACTTGATCATTGTGCAAGTTCGAGGACGATAGCTGCTATGGTGGGCGTGATCTGCCATGCACGTCGGAGCATTCCGCGGAGCTTGCACATAAGAGGGGCGCAAGTTTGATCGGCCGCTTGTGGCACGGGAAAGTTGGCACTGTGAATTCCATCGTGCTTCCCTAGAGAATGCAGGTGATGAAATGAGAGCTGTGAACTCTTGGAGCAGTAGAGGGGCTCGTGTGAGGGCCACTTTTTCGTTTGAGGTGAGGGATTGATCTCTCGGTCACCCTGCCCTCTAGCTATGACACCTGGCCGGTATCCTGCGTGTAGGATGAAGCGACTCTTTTGACGTGAGAGACGCATCGGCTCTCTAATGCGTTCGTAAACGGCATGGACACAGGTGACTGTCTTCACATCGTCTGCCCGTCCCAGTCCGGAAGTGTCCACCCAAGGGGAGTTTCATGTATTAGCTGAGGCGAGCATGGCGTGGATCATGGCGGCGCGAGATGGAGTTGAGTCTTGGTGGTAGCGGAGCAGTGATCTTCGGCCTAGCGAGGATAGGCGCCCCCGCCATGCAGATTATGGCCGGCAGAGGCGGCGGTGAGTCCAGGGCCCGTGCCCAACACAGCTAGGCGTGGAAGATGGTCAGGTGACCTGACGGACTCGACAGCATTGGCTCCTACAGTTGTGAGGTGAGCTGGCGCGACGCTAAATAAAAGATAGTTAGCAATGGCTTCATATATGGCGTCTGCTAGCCTCGCTGAGCTGCTAGCAGACGTTTAACACGTCGAACCTATGGGAAGAATGGTGGATGGCCCGGGCAGCCTCTTGTTCTGCTCTCTCGGCCTTCCATCACTCAGACCAGCGACATTTGCTTTCTATTCTGGGTTATGGGGAAGTTGTACTACTCTGAGAAAAAAGAGCGAAAGTTTCAGGCTACGTGATAGAGCCTACTCAGACTTGAGCATGCGGTAGATGATGCGCTTGACCG